AAAGCGAATTGTTACCGCTGCAGAAAACAAATGCGAGCAAACAAATTCATTAGTCAAAATCTCTGGTTTGCTGGGATCTGAACAAAATTATAGAAGACAATAAACATAATAAAGTCAATTAAAACAACGGCTGGATAGAAGATGAGCAATCCAGCTCTCATCATCAGGATGAGATTGGCCGTAACTTCCTATGCGAGCTTTACAATTGGTGAATTTGATCTTTGCCATTGGAATTGCCTGTAGAATTACTCCATTATAGAAATAATTTTTAATTAATAGTTAACTAGCAAATCTCAATACTTATCTCTGTGTTCAAAGTCCACCTTAAAGCCATGCTGGCATTTACATTTCTGTCACGGAAACTAATTGCCGCTCAGAAGCCAAAATTCTCCCATCGGGCTGTCTGAGCAGCAGAAGCCGCCCACAGGCATCGCAACCCCACGATGTGACGCGATGCGATGTGCTCCTAAGGCCTGGGGACCCGCGGGGCTGCTCCCATAGGTCACCTCCTGCTGAGGCACGGCAGGTGCTGACGAGTATTTGCGATGTTGAGTCCACCTCGGCTGGCAGTGGGAGGGGCAGAAAGAGGAAATAATCTCTGCTAACACCAAGGTGTGGATTTTTTGTGGTTTGAGGTTTTTCTGGTAAGAAATGACATTTCAGAAATAGTCTCTGGAAAGCAACTGCACTTAATGCTGTTGTAATCCTAAAATTGCCTGTAGTACAAATGTAATCTACACTTAACGAAAGGGTCTGTCACTTCGGAGACCTGAGAAACGCAGTGCCTGTTATTGCGGCATGAAGCCTGGCATACCTGGACGAGATCTCTGGATTTTCCCACTGCAGCGATCGCTCCATCTGACCACCTGAGGAGGGTCACAATTCTTCCTTGTTGCAGTTGACGTTCAGTATATTCATCTGTTGTTTGTTCTTTTCCTGAAGCTGACGGAGTTGTTACAGTGGTACGTGACCACCTTTAGAGACCCCCTGATGCTCCAGCCCCCAGAGTGGTTCAAGGCATTTATATATTGCGAAGCCTTCTTACAATTGCCTTTCTTCCCCATTGCAGGATACGCCTTCTTAAAAGGTTGGTATAAAACAAGCCTAAGAATACATCCTGTGCAGTATTTCTGCCTAATGCTTGCTTTCTGCACAGCAGAGAAAGTTTATCAGTCTTAAGCAATTATAGATGTACCATGTGGAGTGGAGTGTTGTGCTGCTTTCATGGTGAGTTTTATCTGAGAAAGCAGCTGAGAATGTCAGAAACAAAACCGTGACTATAGGTACTCTTCCACTGCAGCCATTTATATGCAACCAGCGTCAACGTTTGATGTCTGGCACGCTTCCAGGGTAAATGAAGTTCTGGGTCAAGCCTGTGTACTCGTTTTGTCGCTTTCAAACTGTCACGGTCAGACCATCGTTCTAAATTTCCAGAAAGGTTGATAATTTTCCTGGGTTGCTACTAGTATTTACAGGTTTTTTTCTACTACCTGTTTAATGTGACTTACTGCTTATCCCATCAGATATGGCGGTTAATGTTCTGTTAATTTAAAGGCCACTGAATTCTGCTTGTTTCAAAATACTTAATATTGTTCCCTTTTTATTTCTGTCCAGGCGGCTGCAGGTGGATAAGGACTCCTGCAATCATCTACTCCACCCACGTGGCTACAACGTTGTTTGCCATCCTCGCGCATGTCCTGTTCCACGATTTCTCAAAGTCTGAGCATTTGGGACCCCAGACGTTACGTGAGCGCCTGATTCTGCTGTCTGTATATGTGCCGTACTTGGTGATACCGCTTCTGATCCTTTTCACCATGCTCCACAGCCCCCACTACAGCCACGCGGAGAAAAGGAAAAGGAAGTAGCCCGCTGTAGTAGCCGTAGGCACAACACTCACACTGGTTCTGGTTCAGACCCGCCGGCACAAGCGTCTGTCTCGTGGTGTTGGCTGCAACAGCTGTTGCCAGAGAATCTGGCTCCCACAGGAAAAATTGAATTGTTTGAGTTTACAGCTCTCCTTCAATCAGAAAGGGCTTTGGGAGGTGCCTGCATAGCGATGCCGTGGGGTTTCTGGGCTTGGGACCCCGCTCCCCTCCAGCCAGCCGTTCTGGGCGGTACATCTGTCATCGGGAAACGAACTTTGAACCATTTGATGTGTAACTGTGCGATGGGGGGAACTGCAGCTGATGCTTTTCTTTCAAGTTCTTTTTTTCCAAGGTGACTGCTAGAAAACCACTTAAGTAAGAATTTTGTCTTCCAAGAGATATTCTGCAAAATCCCTGACTGATTATATACAGATTTGCAAAGCTATGCTTTTGAAGCATTTCAAATCATATAATCACTCTTAACTTCCTCCTTCCTTTAAAATTTCACCTTCCTTTGCTCTGCTTCAATTTTGATTAATTGTCTGATCAGTGGTGAATGTTGCAAAATCTGGATCTCTGAATGCCTGAAGTAAAACTTGATGGTAAGCAACTTCCTACACGATTGTGAAGCACTGCAGAAATTCTAACCAAGGATTTGTAAATTGCTCTCTTCCATGAAATCACTTCTAGTATGGAAATAAATAACTAAATGCATGAAACTGCATTTACTCTTCTGAAGGGAATGACTAAAAGGGATGTAAAAGGCCCATAAGATCATAGATAGTTCACACAGTCAATGTATGAGTAAGGTAGAGCGAAAAAACCCTACTGCTGCTAGAAATGCTGGGGTGGTTGGGGTTTTTCTTTTGTGTTCTCAATCTGATCTGCAAGAATCAAACTTGGAGCTGTGTAAGGCTGCAGGTCACTGATGCGGCTTTTCTGTCACTGCCTGTATCGTTCAGGACGGCATGAACGTGACCCTGCCCCGGGCTCCAGAGAGGCCACCATTCAGACAGACGCAAACCACACTGTTTGGCTTCAACGTGAGGCTTGATTTTAGATCCCGGGCATCCAGTTTTCAAATGTCTCGTCCGTGTTTATGGCTCGTATCTACTCCTGGGGTCATGCTGCAGGGTTTGTCTCCTTAGTTTGCAGTTCTGGTGCTAATAACGCCCGTGAAGGGATTCCACACTAGTGTCCCTGCCCATAGGGACACACCTCAGGCACTGTTTAAGGTTCGAATTCTGCCCCATTTTCTGCTTTTGTGTGTGTCTGGAACTGATCTGTTAATCACAAATTTCTGGGTTTTTTTTTTCCTAACTCTACAGGAAAATTAATCTGGTCAATACAGATAAAAGTTACTGCTGCTTCTGTGTTGTGTCTTTATGGACGTGACAAACACCACAGAACACAGGAAACCCATTGTGACTATCCAGGGACGTGTAAACTCTTCAGCTGAACAATAACATAGCAGAAAGAACTAATTCTGGTATATCCAGAAAGTCTGAAAACAATAATTTATTTCTTATTTGAAAGAGCTGTACAATTCAAAAAGCAAGCGCCATAACAGTAGTATTAATTCAACTGTAGTTAGAACTACTGATTGTACAAAACTTATAAAATCAAAGGGCAGAACAGTCTTTGCATCTGTTAGAAAGCCTCCTTATTGCCACTTTAGTGTAATTCGCACAGAATTAAAAGACACTTCCACTTGTACAAACCATCTCTTCATTCATACACAGTGAAAAATTGCATATTTTTGAAATTCTCAAGATTCTGGAATGGTCAAGTTTCCAAGTTAGTTTGTTTTTATCCTAAACCCCTCTATTTTTGAAAAATGAATTGGTCAATGAATTCGTTCTGGTCTGCTTCAATTTTGCACAGAGTCTCGTACTCTATTCGGTATCTGAAGGGGAAAAAAAAAAAAACAAACGTTACCAGCTACCTCCAGCCCGCGTGAGATGGTTTAGTACAAAGTTCATTAGCAGGTGGCAAGGGGACGTTGGGCTACGTGTGTACAAGTCATCTGTAAAGCGCTGCCTGCCCGAGTTAGAGTTTGCAGTTCTAAAGCGCCTTTACCAGTCAGACACGTGGCAGCTCTTAGTTTTATTCATCCCTTGACCTGCATGGTCTCACGCCACCTCCATTTAAGTAGCCACAAAGTCGTCAGAGAGGAACCACTGCTCTTAGGTTAACTCTAGGCTCGTGGCTCCGTGTGCGCTTTGTGCGGGAGACGACACCTTTGCTGCAGACGGACTGTCTGAACAAGCTTAGACAGTGTCCTGCAGCCCAGCACAGATGGCAGATTGACTTTCCAGCCCACGTGGTGCCCCAAAAGCATTTTAACAGACAACTCACCTTTCCAACTGCATCTTTTTCTCAGCTATTAAAGCCCGAAGTTGCTGTTCCTGAGCTTCTCTTTGCTTTGCTATAGACTTCAGCAAATTTCGTGCACCGATGGCCTGTCAAAAGAAGACGGTCAGTGATGTAGTTGTATTGGGATTTTTTTATTACTTTAACCCTGTCACTACTCGCAGGTTAATTCTGAGGTGTTTCAGCTGCGCTAACAGTACAGGAGGGTGGCAACTTAGTTCTGAATGGCCGGTGCAAGCAGTCCCTGGGGAGGTTGGGCAGATAAAGGCACCTGAGACTTCCTTCAAGCTCAGGATGTTCATAACAGCCTGAAACAAAAGTCACCGACTCCTCTGGAAACACAAACTGATCACCGGTGACTGGTCCTACAGATAGACAAGCTCTGGTTCCATTTTTTCCCCCAGAACAAATAAGGAAAAAATTACCTACAGTTGTACTAAACATTAATTTCTATCTCCACGATAACATGTAAAATACACCACACCGCTTGGTGACACAGAGAGATACACAAGGAAAAGTTCAAAAGTAGTTATTTGAAGGCCATTGATCTGGCCTTCAGAAAGCCACCCTCCTCCTCCTCCCAAGAGCCTCTCCTGCCTCTTGAGGACAAAGTTCTACTAATAGAAGGAGTGATTAAAAAACACACGTTCTATTTATGTGCAAATATCTAGATAGGCAGCAACGGTGGGACTGATAAATGCAGGAGTGATGTGACACACTGATGTGCCCGTACAAGCCCTCTAGACGTTAATATCCATTAGAAAGCGCCACGCTTTCCTATCGCAGACAGACAGCTGTTAAATACCACGGAGAGCCCGGCAGAAAGGGATTGCTTATGCTGCAGGAGGAAGGGAGGGATCTGGGTTTTCACGCACAGTACCCGACAAGCCAGTCATTAATTGCGTGGTACCTTCATCTTCTCACTTTCAGCAGCTTTTGCCAGTTGATCAACAAGTTCAATTAAGCTACCCACTATCTTCTGAAATTCTACTACTTCTGCAAAGAAAAAAAATTGTCAAGTAATACTCAAAACACCCCTCAAGAAGACTAATGCTTCTACTACACGCTCCAATTTTTAGACGCGGCTTGTACCGTTGGAGTTTACCGCGAACAGGTACAAGTTAAGGTTTCCCGGCTCTCGGGTAAGGGCGGGAGGGCAGCACAGCCCCTGAGCGCCCACGGGGGTG